GTTCTTGTTTTAAATCCAATTGTGCTCAGACTAAGATAAAAAAAAAAACACTTGATTCATTATGTGCAGAGTATATTATCCAAAGTAAATAATCTCAGGATACAGATGAAGAGCCACAATGAAAAATACAAATCTGACACAAGGATCATTTGAAGGACATTTTTGGGCATATTTAGTAAAATGGGTTTGATCCGACGTCACAGAGAGAGGGTGACGTGCTGAGGGCCCCTGGGTGCCCTGTCATCCTCACACATCAGCCTCTTAATGGGACCTGGCAGCTCCGACCAGACATGGAATTATTTTTGACTGGATTTCACACACAATGTCTTCCCTGGACTGAGACACGGCTGTGGACTGGTCACGGGTCAGAGGTTTAGACCCAGGACTGAGGCTATAAGATCCAGGACTGAGGCTGTGGATCTAGGACTGAGGCTGTAGACCCAGGACTGAGGCTGTGGACCCAGGACTGAGGCTGTGGATCTAGGACTGAGGCTGTAGACCCAGGACTGAGGCTGTAGATCCAGGACTGAGGCTGTAGACCCAAGACTGAGGCTGTAGACCCAGGACTGAGGCTGCAGATCCAGGACTGAGGCTGTAGACCCAGGACTGAGGCTGTAGATCCAAGACTGAGGCTGCAGATCCAGGACTGAGGCTGTAGACCCAGGACTGAGGCTGTAGACCCAGGACTGAGGCTGTAGACCCAGGACTGAGGCTATAGATCCAGGACTGAGGCTGTAGACCCAGGACTGAGGCTATAGATCCAGGACTGAGGCTGTAGACCCAGGTTATTTTCTTTAACTCTGACTAATTGAGTCTCAGCTGCAGCCTGGACTTAATCAGAGTTAGATGAGGCGCTTTGTAAAGAAAACACTTCTCTTTCCTGCTGTGTTCATATTCAGATGAATCCCTGCTTTATTCACCAGACTAATAAAACATGTACAAGATCATTCATAAATGATTCAGGATTCACCAGAGCGGGGGGTCGGAGGAAGGGAGGAGAAAGTCTGCACAAATAATACCAGAGAAAACTTCCTTCAGTTATCGGCATTTTACTGAAGGATTTGATCTTTTCCCTTTTTATTCAACTCTAATGTGATTTTTTTTGGTGAGGAAAAACTCTAAAAAAGTGAGAAACCACGGGAAGGACAGGCTGTAGACCCAGGACTGAGGCTGTAGGTCCAGGACTGAGGCTGTAGACCCAGGACTGAGGCTGTAGACCCAGGACTGAGGCTGTAGATCCAGGACTGAGACTGTAGACCCAGGACTGAGGCTGTAGGTCCAGGACTGAGGCTGTAGACCCAGGACTGAGACTGTAGGTCCAGGACTGAGGCTGTAGATCCAGGACTGAGGCTGTAGACCCAGGACTGAGGCTGTAGGTCCAGGACTGAGGCTGTAGACCCAGGACTGAGACTATAAACCCAGGACTGAGGCTGTAGACCCAGGACTGAGGCTGTAGAGACCCAAGACTGAGGCTGTAGACCCAGGACTGAGGCTATAGACCCAGGACTGAGGCTGTAGACCCAGGACTGAGGCAGTTTGTGTCTAAACAGTGTATGACAATGGCACTGACTCTCTTTGTTCACCTTAATCTCTTCACCCCCGTACCCCCGTTTGGGAAACACACTTTGGTACTGGTGACGTCACTTTCCTCCGAAACAAAACCTGGAAAGACTGAATCCATGAACTGAAAACAGTGAGTCCCGGTTCACTCTGCCATACCCTGGCTGTCCAGCAGGTGTCGCTCTGAGCCTTCTCTCGGCCTGAGCGCCACACCAGCACAGCGCGCACCATCACGCATCCACAAACGAGTTGATAAACAGCAGGGCATTTAAAGCTCAGGCACCTAACTTCTGTGTTTTATAAATAACATCAGAGACAATCTTGTAAAATAAAAGAAAGTAAGAATATTGTGTGAGCTGAGAGCTGATTGGCTGAGTGAGAGTGGTCCATTCTGTTTCACTTTTCTGTCTGAAAAAAAGCAGATTTTAGATTTGGCTGAGACAGAAACACATTCAACAAACACAAAATTAAAAGTATAGAAGCGGCTTTAATTCTATAATAATGTTGTAGTGATAAAATAATGTCCTGTTTTTTTCTGATGCTTCAATAATACAATAAATCTGTCATAATTATATTTTATACTGAGCACCATCACAATCATCACTAGGTCGGCTGTGGTTGTGTCCTTGGGCAAGACACTTAACCCCCACTTTGCCTGAAGCCCTCACAGACAGCAGCCTCCTCCTGTGGACTCACCTGCAGGAGGAGCAGGAGGATCAGTGAGGGGCAGGAGGAGCAGAAGGAGCAGGAGGAGCAGGAGGATCAGTGAGGGGCAGGAGGATCAGTGAGGGGCAGGAGGAGCAGGAGGATCAGTGAGGGGCAGGAGGAGCAGGAGGAGCAGAAGGAGCAGGAGGATCAGGAGGATCAGTGAGGGGCAGGAGGAGCAGGAGGATCAGTGAGGGGCAGGAGGAGCAGGAGGAGCAGGAGGAGCAGGAGGATCAGTGAGGGGCAGGAGGAGCAGGAGGATCAGTGAGGGGCAGGAGGAGCAGGAGGATCAGTGAGGAGCAGGAGGAGCAGAAGGAGCAGGAGGATCAGTGAGGGGCAGGAGGAGCAGGAGGATCAGTGAGGGGCAGGAGGAGCAGGAGGATCAGTGAGGGGCAGGAGGAGCAGGAGGATCAGTGAGGGGCAGGAGGAGCAGAAGGAGCAGGAGGATCAGTGAGGGGCAGGAGGAGCAGGAGGATCAGTGAGGGGCAGGAGGAGCAGGAGGATCAGTGAGGGGCAGGAGGAGCAGGAGGAGCAGGAGGAGCAGAAGGAGCAGGAGGAGCAGGAGGATCAGTGAGGGGCAGGAGGAGCAGGAGGATCAGTGAGGGGCAGGAGGAGCAGGAGGATCAGTGAGGGGCAGGAGGAGCAGGAGGAGCAGAAGGAGCAGGAGGAGCAGGAGGATCAGTGAGGGGCAGGAGGAGCAGGAGGATCAGTGAGGGGCAGGAGGAGCAGGAGGAGCAGGAGGAGCAGGAGGAGGATCAGTGAGGGGCAGGAGGAGCAGGAGGATCAGTGAGGAGCAGGAGGAGCAGGAGGATCAGTGAGGGGCAGGAGGAGCAGGAGGATCAGTGCGGGGCAGGAGGAGCAGGAGGAGCAGGAGGATCAGTGAGGGGCAGGAGGAGCAGGAGGATCAGTGAGGGGCAGGCGGAGCAGGAGGATCAGTGAGGAGCAGGAGGAGCAGAAGGAGCAGGAGGATCAGTGAGGGGCAGGAGGAGCAGGAGGATCAGTGAGGGGCAGGAGGAGCAGGAGGATCAGTGAGGAGCAGGAGGAGCAGAAGGAGCAGGAGGATCAGTGAGGGGCAGGAGGAGCAGGAGGATCAGTGAGGGGCAGGAGGAGCAGGAGGATCAGTGAGGGGCAGGAGGAGCAGGAGGATCAGTGAGGGGCAGGAGGAGCAGAAGGAGCAGGAGGATCAGTGAGGGGCAGGAGGAGCAGGAGGATCAGTGAGGGGCAGGAGGAGCAGGAGGATCAGTGAGGGGCAGGAGGAGCAGGAGGAGCAGGAGGAGCAGAAGGAGCAGGAGGAGCAGGAGGATCAGTGAGGGGCAGGAGGAGCAGGAGGATCAGTGAGGGGCAGGAGGAGCAGGAGGATCAGTGAGGGGCAGGAGGAGCAGGAGGAGCAGAAGGAGCAGGAGGAGCAGGAGGATCAGTGAGGGGCAGGAGGAGCAGGAGGATCAGTGAGGGGCAGGAGGAGCAGGAGGAGCAGGAGGAGCAGGAGGATCAGTGAGGGGCAGGAGGAGCAGGAGGATCAGTGAGGGGCAGGAGGAGCAGGAGGATCAGTGAGGAGCAGGAGGAGCAGAAGGAGCAGGAGGATCAGTGAGGGGCAGGAGGAGCAGGAGGATCAGTGAGGGGCAGGAGGAGCAGGAGGATCAGTGAGGGGCAGGAGGAGCAGGAGGATCAGTGAGGGGCAGGAGGAGCAGAAGGAGCAGGAGGATCAGTGAGGGGCAGGAGGAGCAGGAGGATCAGTGAGGGGCAGGAGGAGCAGGAGGAGCAGGAGGAGCAGGAGGATCAGTGAGGGGCAGGAGGAGCAGGAGGATCAGTGAGGGGCAGGAGGAGCAGGAGGAGCAGAAGGAGCAGGAGGAGCAGGAGGATCAGTGAGGGGCAGGAGGAGCAGGAGGATCAGTGAGGGGCAGGAGGAGCAGGAGGATCAGTGAGGAGCAGGAGGAGCAGAAGGAGCAGGAGGATCAGTGAGGGGCAGGAGGAGCAGGAGGATCAGTGAGGGGCAGGAGGAGCAGGAGGATCAGTGAGGGGCAGGAGGAGCAGAAGGAGCAGGAGGATCAGTGAGGGGCAGGAGGAGCAGGAGGATCAGTGAGGGGCAGGAGGAGCAGGAGGATCAGTGAGGGGCAGGAGGAGCAGGAGGATCAGTGAGGAGCAGGAGGAGCAGGAGGATCAGTGAGGGGCAGGAGGAGCAGGAGGATCAGTGAGGGGCAGGAGGAGCAGGAGGATCAGTGAGGGGCAGGAGGAGCAGGAGGATCAGTGAGGGGCAGGAGGAGCAGGAGGATCAGTGCGGGGCAGGAGGAGCAGGAGGAGCAGGAGGATCAGTGAGGGGCAGGAGGAGCAGGAGGATCAGTGAGGGGCAGGAGGAGCAGGAGGATCAGTGAGGAGCAGGAGGAGCAGAAGGAGCAGGAGGATCAGTGAGGGGCAGGAGGAGCAGGAGGATCAGTGAGGGGCAGGAGGAGCAGGAGGATCAGTGAGGAGCAGGAGGAGCAGAAGGAGCAGGAGGATCAGTGAGGGGCAGGAGGAGCAGGAGGAGCAGGAGGATCAGTGCGGGGCAGGAGGAGCAGGAGGATCAGTGAGGAGCAGGAGGATCAGTGAGGGGCAGGAGGAGCAGGAGGATCAGTGAGGGGCAGGAGGAGCAGGAGGATCAGTGAGGGGCAGGAGGAGCAGGAGGATCAGTGAGGAGCAGGAGGATCAGTGAGGGGCAGGAGGAGCAGGAGGATCAGTGAGGGGCAGGAGGAGCAGGAGGATCAGTGAGGGGCAGGAGGAGCAGAAGGAGCAGGAGGAGCAGGAGGAGCAGAAGGAGCAGGAGGATCAGTGAGGGGCAGGAGGAGCAGGAGGATCAGTGAGGGGCAGGAGGAGCAGGATTCCCCCCCTCCTCGATTGCTCCAGGGTCCTCCTCCTCCTGCTCCTTCTCTTCCTCCTCCTACTCCATGTGTCCACAGCCCGGGCCCTCTGCTGGGGGCCTCTGCAGAGAACAACAGGTACTTTCTCCTCATGTTTTTACGTAACAAGTGGTTGAGAAGAAGACAGCAGCAGCAGAACACATTATTATCAAAGAAACGACTTCATGTTACACCGAGCTCTGTGACGATTCCAGCGCTAACAGCCGTGCATTATTGCCATGGAAACGCACACGTAGCTCCGGTAAGTTTAAAATCAAGCTCTATCTAACCACTCCGCCTGCACAGTTGTTGCCATAGTAACTGTAACAGCTGGATCAAATAATCTGTTAATCAGGTAACAAATTGTATTATTAGTATTATCATTAGCATTTGGCCTGTTCAGTGAATCAACATTTGTTACACACATAAGTTCACGGGACCATGGTATAAGTGGATTAAACTAACTGGAGTCGCGTAATAATAACGGCTTATTAACCGAGCGCGAGGTCTGTATGGAGAAATATCAGACCGAGCCTTAACGTACAGACCGAGCCTTAACGTACAGACCGAGCCTTAATGCACAGACCGAGCCTTAAAGTACAGACCGAGCCTTAACGCACAGACCGAGCCTTAATGTACAGACCGAGCCTTAAAGTACAGACCGAGCCTTAATGTACAGACCGAGCCTTAAAGTACAGACCGAGCCTTAACGTACAGACCGAGCCTTAACGTACAGACCGAGCCTTAACGTACAGACCGAGCCTTAAAGTACAGACCGAGCCTTAACGCACAGACCGAGCCTTAATGTACAGACCGAGCCTTAACGTACAGACCGAGCCTTAACGTACAGACCGAGCCTTAAAGTACAGACCGAGCCTTAACGCACAGACCGAGCCGTAATGCACAGACCGAGCCTTAACGTACAGACCGAGCCTTAATGCACAGACCGAGCCTTAACGTACAGACCGAGCCTTAACGTACAGACCGAGCCTTAAAGTACAGACCGAGCCTTAAAGTACAGACCGAGCCTTAAAGTACAGACCGAGCCTTAACGCACAGACCGAGCCTTAACGCACAGACCGAGCCTTAACGTACAGACCGAGCCTTAACGTACAGACCGAGCCTTAACGTACAGACCGAGCCTTAAAGTACAGACCGAGCCTTAACGTACAGACCGAGCCTTAACGTACAGACCGAGCCTTAAAGTACAGACCGAGCCTTAACGCACAGACCGAGCCGTAATGCACAGACCGAGCCTTAACGTACAGACCGAGCCTTAACGTACAGACCGAGCCTTAAAGTACAGACCGAGCCTTAACGCACAGACCGAGCCTTAACGTACAGACCGAGCCTTAATGTACAGACCGAGCCTTAACGTACAGACCGAGCCTTAACGTACAGACCGAGCCTTAATGCACAGACCGAGCCTTAATGTACAGACCGAGCCTTAACGTACAGACCGAGCCTTAATGCACAGACCGAGCCTTAACGCACAGACCGAGCCTTAAAGTACAGACCGAGCCTTAACGTACAGACCGAGCCTTAACGTACAGACCGAGCCTTAATGCACAGACCGAGCCTTAATGTACAGACCGAGCCTTAATGCACAGACCGAGCCTTAACGCACAGACCGAGCCGTAATGCACAGACCGAGCCTTAACGTACAGACCGAGCCTTAAAGTACAGACCGAGCCTTAATGTACAGACCGAGCCTTAACGCACAGACCGAGCCTTAATGCACAGACCGAGCCTTAACGCACAGACCGAGCCTTAAAGTACAGACCGAGCCTTAATGTACAGACCGAGCCTTAATGCACAGACCGAGCCTTAATGCACAGACCGAGCCTTAATGTACAGACCGAGCCTTAACGTACAGACCGAGCCTTAACGCACAGACCGAGCCTTAATGTACAGACCGAGCCTTAATGTACAGACCGAGCCTTAAAGTACAGACCGAGCCGTAATGCACAGACCGAGCCTTAATGTACAGACCGAGCCTTAACGTACAGACCGAGCCTTAAAGTACAGACCGAGCCTTAACGCACAGACCGAGCCTTAACGCACAGACCGAGCCTTAACGTACAGACCGAGCCTTAACGCACAGACCGAGCCTTAACGCACAGACCGAGCCTTAACGTAAAGACCGAGCCTTAATGCACAGACCGAGCCTTAACGCACAGACCGAGCCGTAATGCACAGACCGAGCCTTAATGTACAGACCGAGCCTTAATGCACAGACCGAGCCTTAACGTACAGACCGAGCCTTAATGTACAGACCGAGCCTTAACGTACAGACCGAGCCTTAAAGTACAGATCGAGCCTTAACGTACAGACCGAGCCTTAATGCACAGACCGAGCCTTAACGTACAGACCGAGCCTTAATGCACAGACCGAGCCTTAATGCACAGACCGAGCCTTAATGCACAGACCGAGCCTTAACGTACAGACCGAGCCTTAAAGTACAGACCGAGCCTTAACGTACAGACCGAGCCTTAACGTACAGACCGAGCCTTAAAGTACAGACCGAGCCTTAACGTACAGACCGAGCCTTAACGTACAGACCGAGCCTTAACGTACAGACCGAGCCTTAACGTACAGACCGAGCCTTAACGTACAGACCGAGCCTTAACGCACAGACCGAGCCTTAACGTACAGACCGAGCCTTAATGCACAGACCGAGCCTTAACGTACAGACCGAGCCTTAAAGTACAGACCGAGCCTTAATGCACAGACCGAGCCTTAACGTACAGACCGAGCCTTAAAGTACAGACCGAGCCTTAACGTACAGACCGAGCCTTAACGTACAGACCGAGCCTTAATGCACAGACCGAGCCTTAATGCACAGACCGAGCCTTAAAGTACAGACCGAGCCTTAACGCACAGACCGAGCCGTAATGCACAGACCGAGCCTTAATGTACAGACCGAGCCTTAATGCACAGACCGAGCCTTAACGTACAGACCGAGCCTTAATGTACAGACCGAGCCTTAACGTACAGACCGAGCCTTAAAGTACAGACCGAGCCTTAACGCACAGACCGAGCCTTAATGTACAGACCGAGCCTTAATGCACAGACCGAGCCTTAATGCACAGACCGAGCCTTAATGCACAGACCGAGCCTTAATGCACAGACCGAGCCTTAATGTACAGATCGAGCCTTAACGCACAGACCGAGCCTTAACGTACAGACCGAGCCTTAACGTACAGACCGAGCCTTAATGCACAGACCGAGCCTTAACGCACAGACCGAGCCTTAACGTACAGACCGAGCCTTAACGTACAGACCGAGCCTTAATGCACAGACCGAGCCTTAATGCACAGACCGAGCCTTAATGCACAGACCGAGCCTTAACGTACAGACCGAGCCTTAAAGTACAGACCGAGCCTTAACGTACAGACCGAGCCTTAACGTACAGACCGAGCCTTAACGTACAGACCGAGCCGTAATGCACAGACCGAGCCTTAACGTACAGACCGAGCCTTAACGTACAGACCGAGCCTTAATGCACAGACCGAGCCTTAACGTACAGACCGAGCCTTAACGTACAGACCGAGCCTTAACGTACAGACCGAGCCTTAAAGTACAGACCGAGCCTTAACGCACAGACCGAGCCGTAATGCACAGACCGAGCCTTAACGTACAGACCGAGCCTTAATGCACAGACCGAGCCTTAAAGTACAGACCGAGCCTTAACGCACAGACCGAGCCGTAATGCACAGACCGAGCCTTAACGTACAGACCGAGCCTTAATGCACAGACCGAGCCTTAACGTACAGACCGAGCCTTAACGTACAGACCGAGCCTTAATGCACAGACCGAGCCTTAATGCACAGACCGAGCCTTAACGTACAGACCGAGCCTTAACGTACAGACCGAGCCTTAATGCACAGACCGAGCCTTAATGCACAGACCGAGCCTTAATGCACAGACCGAGCCTTAACGTACAGACCGAGCCTTAAAGTACAGACCGAGCCTTAACGTACAGACCGAGCCTTAACGTACAGACCGAGCCTTAACGTACAGACCGAGCCGTAATGCACAGACCGAGCCTTAACGTACAGACCGAGCCTTAACGTACAGACCGAGCCTTAATGCACAGACCGAGCCTTAACGTACAGACCGAGCCTTAACGTACAGACCGAGCCTTAACGTACAGACCGAGCCTTAAAGTACAGACCGAGCCTTAACGCACAGACCGAGCCTTAATGCACAGACCGAGCCTTAACGTACAGACCGAGCCTTAACGCACAGACCGAGCCTTAATGCACAGACCGAGCCTTAACGCACAGACCGAGCCTTAAAGTACAGACCGAGCCTTAATGTACAGACCGAGCCTTAATGCACAGACCGAGCCTTAATGCACAGACCGAGCCTTAATGTACAGACCGAGCCTTAACGTACAGACCGAGCCTTAACGCACAGACCGAGCCTTAATGTACAGACCGAGCCTTAATGTACAGACCGAGCCTTAAAGTACAGACCGAGCCTTAATGTACAGACCGAGCCTTAATGTACAGACCGAGCCTTAACGTACAGACCGAGCCTTAATGTACAGACCGAGCCTTAACGCACAGACCGAGCCTTAACGCACAGACCGAGCCTTAACGTACAGACCGAGCCTTAACGCACAGACCGAGCCTTAACGCACAGACCGAGCCTTAACGTACAGACCGAGCCTTAATGCACAGACCGAGCCTTAACGCACAGACCGAGCCTTAATGCACAGACCGAGCCTTAATGTACAGACCGAGCCTTAATGCACAGACCGAGCCTTAACGTACAGACCGAGCCTTAATGTACAGACCGAGCCTTAACGTACAGACCGAGCCTTAAAGTACAGACCGAGCCTTAACGTACAGACCGAGCCTTAATGCACAGACCGAGCCTTAACGTACAGACCGAGCCTTAATGCACAGACCGAGCCTTAATGCACAGACCGAGCCTTAATGCACAGACCGAGCCTTAACGTACAGACCGAGCCTTAAGTACAGACCGAGCCTTAACGTACAGACCGAGCCTTAACGTACAGACCGAGCCCTTAACGAGCCTTAAGACAGACCGAGCCTTAACGTACAGACCGAGCCTTAACGTACAGACCGAGCCTTAATGTACAG